AATTGGTTCACAATGCATTGATTTGTGGTGTTGATGCCCCTATAGAAAGTCTGTTGGATCATCGCCTCAGTCATGTCGTTGTTAGGGCATTCCTTCACCATTGTTCTATATCGCTCCCAGATCTCATGCAATGGCTCTGTTGGCATTTGCTTAAAGGCTAGAATCTCGTCCCGAAGAGCCGCCATATGACTTGGAGAAAAGAACTTGGCAATAAATTTGTCCGCCAATTCATCCCATGTGGTGATAGAATGATTTGGTAACCTTTCTAACAAGTCCAACGCTTTGCCCCGAAAAGAAAACGGGAAAAGATTCAATCTCAACGCATCCTCTGACACGTTTGTTTGTTTGCTGCCCCAGCAAGTATCTACGAACCCCTTCAAGTGCTTGTATGCATTTTGGTCGGAGGCGCCCGTAAAATATCCCCTTTGCTCGAGCAAGGTCAACATGACATTTGTGATTTGAAAGTTCCCCGCCCGGATTCGGGGAGGAACGATGGCACTCGCGTACCCTTGATTAGGAAGAACTCTTGGGACCGCTCTTGGCGGTGGCGGAGGAGGGTTTGGAATAGGATTGTTGTCATGTACATTAACATTGGCATTTCGACCTCTCCGTGGTACTTGAGGTACCGGAAGCTCATCTTGCTCAACATCTTCAACCTCCTCCCCCGCCAAGGCATTTCCAAGAGGGTCATTTTCGTTTAGAGCCATGTGTACCTGATGGATCAACACAAATAAAGTTAGTAAAAAGAAGGAAAGAGAAGCAAAACACAAAACTAGCTACACAAATAGTCAACACCGTAAGCTCCCCGGCAACGGCGCCAAAAAGTGAATCGCAGCGGACTCAACCTTAGGAAGAGTGGGCGCTAATACTTTTACCCAATAGTGGTATCGGGGTCAATTTCCACAGGGAGCTAGAATGGGAGTTGGATATTTGCTTAGCCTAGAAATGCGTGTTTGCTTCAAATTGATCTTCTATCATTTTTGGATTTTTATGATTATCAACTACAATTTAACAACTACTAATTATAACTAATTATGCTAAGATATTAATTCTAGGTTGTATGCAAGATAGAGAAAGGCACTAGGGTCGTGGCATTTACCTAGGTGGTCAACTAACGGGTAGAGATTCCTAATACAAGAATGATGATTATGGGGCTTATGCTATAACCGTTGCACGATTGCACTCACTCTCACACCTCTCGGTAGAAAGAGTGATTTTGCCCAATTGACTCTCTCGAGACCAATTGGGTAGGCTAACAAGCCAAGCAACTTAGGGTTCAAGTTGGGTAATTGGTCTCTCGAGGTTTTACCCGTTAATTTGGACTACTATTCTAATAGGTCCATCCCAATTCCTTGTTGGGTTAATTTTGGAGTCTTAGACACTCTTTCTCAAGAAGGGTCAAAACTCACAAAGCTAGACTTAGTGTTNACGGTTTCCCTTTCTGGCATGCCATCAATACAGTACAAGAACAAACTTCTCTGAGCTTTTTCTCTATATCTACAAACTGGAAGGGTTGCATCTATAACCTGCAATAAAACACAGAAACAACATTAGCAAGGCAAAGCTATCTCTAATGCTTCGGATCAAAACCTGATCACCTGTTGTTTGGTTCATGAATACAAGTGAATTTATGTATTCAGAGAAGACAAAACAGGAATATGATCAGTAGCATTTAATTCACGTTAAAACAAGGTTAAAATTCCCAAAATAGGCTAAAACTTGAATCTCACGAGTGCTGCTGCTATCTGATGTCTAAAACTTGACCTAGAAATAATAAAATATTCTATTTATACTATGCTAGAAAAATTGGACAAAAATACCCATGCGGGGCTGGTGCGGACCGCGCATAAATGCAGCGCGGCCGCGTAGGGGTCTTGGCCTTCTATCATTCACTTCTGGAACTGGCGACGCGGACCGCACAAAGAAGTAGCGCGGCCGCACAGGCTAATGAGCGCGGACCGCACAACATTGAAGCGCGACCGCGTAGACACCAGCGCTGACCGCGTAGAAATGAGCGCTGACCGCGCTTGGAGACTCCTGAAATGGGTGCTCTCTGAATCTTCTAGCGCGGCCGCGCAACAAATCAGTGCGGTCCGCGCTAGGTCCTCCTGTCCCTACTTCAATGATTTTTGATGCTTGAGCAGGTTTCACTCCGTTTCGAGTTGGTTCTTGACTTTCGTCATCTTATCGCTCAAACCTGCAATCAAGCGCACTTTGTAAGCATTCTGAGTCTATTTCATGATAATTCATACATAAGGCATAGGCAAGTATGGGCATAAAACGTGTTAAAATCACAGTTATCATTAGCAAAGAGAGCAAAGAATGTTGTATTGTATTCAATATGTTGTGTAATAATCTGAATCCCTTACAAGATGACAAGGGTCCCCTTTCTATAGGAAGGTTGAATCCCAACATAGTACATGTCTAATAAATGACGAAGAAAAGCTACTAGTGCAGCTGTGCAACGGCTCAGTATGGATTTGTACTATTTTTGCAGACCTGGTCAGTTCTAGCCACGTACATTTGGGGATTTTCCCGCCCTTTCACGACGATCATCGATTGTACTGCTTCGAGATCGATCATAATGAGCCTTCAATGTGCTTCCTCGAGGGACGCACCTCGGGGTCGCACCTCATGCGCTGCTTCGGGCCTCTTTGAGGATAGGCGTGGAGCAACATAGTAGCCCCAAAGTCGAACTCCCCAATTTTGGCCGTATACATTTACAAAATGAAAGGTCATTGGACAAATGTACGTATTGTGAGTTTAATGATCCTAGACGTAAGAAAATTCACCTTTATTAAAAGTGATGCTTAATTTGATTATATGAAAAAGTTATAAGTGAAGGCAATAATAATGCAGAGTGTGTCTATATTCTACGAGCCATATGCGTGTTAGCAATATAATGAAAAAAAATTGGTTTTCGAATGGAGGTAGCACGTGAATAGTGAAGATGAAAAAATAAAAATAGACAAGGATTAAACTGTAATTGTAGCTTAATATTCTATAGAACAAAGGCTTTAATTTTAGCTGTTGGCTGCTTCGTTGTACGGGTCAATAATTCTTGATTTAGAAGGTCTCTTAACGCCAAGACCTAACATGGCAGGAGATAACGAAGAAGAATGTTAATGTTATATATATATATATATATATTCCTTTTAAATGTTGCAATCTTTTTGTGTGGAAATATTACAGAGCATTGAGTAAAAAGAATTAGTGATGTTTAGCTATCCATCTGTATAAACTATTTTGTGTAAGTGAATTATTTAACAGGTTGATTTCTTGGGTCGTTTCACAAATTATTAGTCATTTTTAATTAGGAAATTACCAGCTATGTCCATTTATAAGTTGCTCATTACAAAAATTGGTCAATTGATAAAATATTACTAATATTAGCCAAATTAGCCAATTAGTTATTTGTAGCAAAAAAATATCAAATTTTTGCTTTGTTTTGAGTGGGTGTTATTAAAATAGATTGGGCACAACTTAAGGAGCTTGAATCTTAGTTTTGGGATGATTTGGTGAAGTTTTGAGGTGGTTTGAATTGAAAATTCGAAGTAAAAGCTAAACATGAAAAAAAAATGATATGTGTATCACATTGTGTATCATTTGTGTATCACATATGTATCATATTTGTATCAATTGTGTATCACATGTATATCCATGTATACCTGTGTGTATGATACATGCGTGATACATGTTTTATACATGTGTCGCAGAAGACTTTTTTAAACTCGATCTAATTACGAATTTTGATACAAAACCAGTCCAAATCACCTCCAATCTTCCTCAAATTTTGTATATTGACTCATCTATATAATTTCAATGAATTTCAACTATACCCATTGAAAAAGTTCCTATTTTGTTTAGATTTTTGGAATATTGTATAGATTTTTGTATTTCATCACCTTATTTGCTACCCCGTCCATGAAATTTCCTTTCCGTCTTGTATCTAATGTTGTTAATCAAGCTTAAAAATATGGAATGTAATTTTTGCATGTGATTCTTTGAGAGAAAGAACCCTATTATTTGGTTTTTCAATTTTTGTTGGCTAGTTTTGGTAAGTCTATGACTAATAGCTAGAGGTTGGTAAGTTGAGATTTATTAGAGACATTTGTGTAAGTTTTAATTTGTACTTTCTTTTGTAGTATCTTGTGATTTTGGTGCTGAACGCATAAATAAAGTCGTTTAATTTGTGGCAGATATCAAATTGATGTACCTAAAGTTATGATTTTTCCATTTTCTTCTCTTTTCTATTTTTGGTAGAGATTTTCTTTGCTTTGAGTTTCATATTTGGTAGCCAATCATGTTCGACCAGATTGTAAATTTGCAGGAAGGTGGTGATAACCTAACCTCCCACTTTGGACATGGTGGCCCCAACCCACTTGAAACTCTGCTAGAATACCAACATGATAAGAAAAATAACAAAGGTTTTCAAGGTGTATTTAGATGGGGTTGAGGTTTATAAAGCCAACCTAATAAAGCCAAGAAACATCACTTTCACACTCCCACATGATATTGTTGAAATGTTATACCAATCATATTGCTATTATATCTATCCCCATGTATTTTATTTCAAAATTTTCTAATGTAATTATTGATATCTAATTAAAGGAATGCACTTTTTTATTTTGAGGAGAAAAAGGACCGAAAAGAAGTAATGAGAAGTCTACAACATTTTAAAGCTTGAACCACTAGAGAGAGCTTTTCCCTTTGATATTTCCATAAGGTTATAATGTTAGGTAAGATGACCTTTTCACATGATTCATTATAACATACAAAATTTTAACTCTTATGATCATAATATTGTAGCAGGTAAATTGATATTCAGTTTGACAAGGACAATTACTGTTTTCTATAAGTAAACAACGTAACTTTGCTTTTTAAAAGGGCTAGTTAATTTCCTTTATCTTTATATTTTTACTGATTTAACTCATACAGTTGTAACATTTACTATTACCAGCTATCCCACCGACAATTTCATAATCTCATGACAAAGAGAGAAAGAGGTGTCCAGGACTAAAAGCATAAGAATAAAAAAAGCGAACAGATGTAGTTTTGAACAAAGCATAAGTCTTGTGTTCCTCAAATTCCACATATACTTCCTTTCTTCTACTTCACCGCCCTGCAACTTCTCCCATGTGATAACAGAATCCTTTTTACAGTAAAAGGAAACTTTTTTACAAATCTTGAAATTGTCTACTGTTTTGGGTTCTATTTTTAGACAGAGTTGACTTGGGAACTGAAATGGGTATTGCTTGAATTAACCATTAATTGGTTAAGAAATGAAGAACACTACGAATTGGAAAAGCAGAGGAGCTGAATCAGTTGTAAAAGGTGTTTTTTCACCGAAATTGACTATTCTTCTATGTATTGGATGCTTCTGTGTAGGAATGCTCTTCACTGACAGGTTCTTTATTTTGATCTTTCTTTCAACTTTCTGTTCAATGAGAATTTGTCTGATTTTTAATTGGAGTATTTAATTTTCGATCTTTACACAAGGATTTGTCTTTCCATTTAAGCTTTGAATAGATTGTTATTGTATGTTTAGGTCTGGTTAATTTATGCAATTTAGGAATTTAATGATGCCATACTTAAAAAGATCTGTAGCTACATTTTAAAGTATATAATTGTAGTTTAAAATGCTCCTTTTACTGTTATCTTTTCAGTTCCTCAAATATTGAGCCTTTTGCAATTTTGTTCTATTTTTTCATTAATCAAAGTATTTTGGTTTATAGGATGTGGACAGTGCCAGAAGCTAAAGGGATATCAAGGACAAGACAGATTGATGAGCAAAAGCTAGGGGTAATCTCTGAGGACTGTGATCCCACAACTGTGAGTATTAAGTTAAGAAAGTGTTGCTGCAAGTTGAGAAATGAATTTTTAAGACATTTGAAAGTAATGGATTTTGGTCTTCTTGTTAATTTTTAACAGAAGGGTGTCAAAAGTGAAACCAAGGATATTTTCGGGCAAGTTTCGAAAACACATCATGCGATACAGTATGTTTCTCATGCTTTTGACTTATCGATTTAATGAATTTGATTCCTTGTTTTCCTTTTTCCTGAAGTATTTGGAAATAACAAATTCCTTAGCTGTTGTCTTTATAACAAAATACAGAACACTGGATAAAACAATTTCAAACCTAGAGATGGAACTAGCTGCAGCAAGGTCTTTGCAAGATTCTATACTGAGTGGCTCTCCCATAACCGAAGACGTGAAGATTCCCGAATTGACCAAGAAGAGAAAATATCTCATGGTCATAGGGATAAACACTGCCTTCAACAGCCGAAAGAGAAGAGACTCGGTTCGAACTACCTGGATGCCACAAGGTCTTTTAGCTTCATTATTTGTGTGTTCTGAGTTACTCGTTGGGATACTCCCAACGTTGAATGCATATTAAGCATTTTGATTTCTTGATTTTTGGAAAACAGGTGATAAGCGAAAGAAGCTAGAGGAAGAAAAGGGTATTGTAATTCGTTTTGTGATCGGTCACAGGTGAGTAATACAATTGATGGTCGATATTCTCAACGTGTTGTGGTATCCAGTCTATGATATTGTTGTTAGCTCTTGGTTAATTTTGGTTTGGTGTTTTCTGTAAATGGAGGGACAACTGTTTCAAATACTTTGAAAATATACCTCGAGGTTATCTTAAAGCATGTATTGAGCACGACAAAAAAAAAAATCGTTCATCTTTTCACAATTTTGCCTAATATAATTAAAAACTCATCACTTAAAAAGGATATTTCTAAATTGGAGTAGCTGATATTTTATATTTCTTCTACTAATGGAGAGGTGTTTGTCTGGATATTTATTTACTTTTTTTTTTTACTTCTTTTAAATCTTTAACTCATCTAATTATCCGTTATCCAGTGCAACATCAGGTGGCATTCTTGATAGAGCAATTGAAGCAGAAGACAAGAAGCATGGAGATTTCTTGAGGCTGGTAATATTAATACCTTTAAGCCTCCTCTTATATCAGATCCCACCCCTTCAAAACTAATCTAACCGTCGGACATGTCATTGTGACTTCCATAGGAACATGTTGAGGGATATCTTGAACTATCTGCCAAGACAAAGACCTATTTTACTACTGCTGTTGCTCTGTGGGATGCAGATTTCTATGTTAAAGTTGATGATGATGTACATGTAAATATAGGTAAGACCTTTAACCATTATGCCTTATTGTGTCTGCGTCATAGATGGTTCTACAAACCATGCTTGTATTACTACAACAAGTGCACTGCTATACTTAGGCTATCACTCATGCGACAACATGCATGTTTGAAACTTCAGGTGCACTCGGAGCAACTCTAGCTAGGCATCGTTCAAAACCCAGGGTATATATTGGTTGCATGAAATCTGGTCCTGTCCTTGCTCAGAAGTAAGCAGAAGAGTTTACTTTTGACTGTAAATGAAGATAGATTTCCTTGACTTACCTCTATTTTGCCCTCTTTCCTTTGCAGGGGAGTGAGATATCATGAGCCTGAGCATTGGAAATTTGGTGAGGACGGAAACAGATATTTTCGGCATGCAACAGGGCAGCTATATGCCATTTCAAAAGATTTGGCCACTTATATATCTATAAATCAGTAAGTGTTTGCTTTTTCTGATTTTTTTGGACTTCAGTGTGTGTTTTTGCGTGAATATCACTTGCTGATCGTGTTTTCCAATCATATTAGACATGTTCTGCACAAGTATGTTAACGAGGATGTCTCACTGGGGTCATGGCTCATTGGATTGGACGTGGAACATATAGATGATAGAAGATTGTGTTGTGGAACTCCACCTGGTAACAATTCATTGATTCCCTGAAGCTTTGATTACTGTATCTGCATTTAACATTTTCTTGGCAGTTTTATTTGTTGCTTATCCATCGTTTATTATTTTTCCAATCAAATAAATAATTGAATGATAGGGTTAATGATTATTGTTAATTTGGAAAGGTTGTTAAGATCTGCGTACACGATCAAACATTTGAAAGTCTCCAAGTACACAATGATCTTTCCCAGTTTTGGGTAATTGAAATGGTTTAGGTTTTTCCTTTGTGCCTCTTTATTTCTTTTACCCTTAATACACTATCCAAAAAACAGTACATGACTCCTTCCTTTTTCCTCGTGCATGCTCTGTACTTTTACACACAGCGCCATTCTAGTAGTGTAGCCTTTTTCTTCCACATATCTGCCTTGGACCTTTACGCATGTAGCACCAGTCTGTTACTTAGTTCTTTCTTCTTCATTGCTGCCTCATGACAGGAAAATTTGTGCGTTTATTCTATCTGGTTCACTTGGTTGAGAAAAGTTCTGAAAATTTCTTGAATTGCCTTTTTCATTCTTGTGATCTCTTTTTTACACAGTTTAGTTATCATGTTGAGTCTGAGAAATTCGCTTCTCTTTGTACATTAGATAACTTGAATGTAAGAAATTAGATATCACATTTATTTAGGCCTTAAAGAAGGATGGCTAGTTACAACTACAGCTTTTCATACTGGTAATTTGTCCTACTCCGGGAGAAGTTTGATTTGATTGATCTCTAAAATATCCGAGGTGATTAATTTGATTTTGTTATCTTAATTTTGCCAGATTGTGAGTGGAAAGCTCAAGCAGGCAACATTTGTGTTGCTTCCTTTGATTGGAGCTGCAGCGGGATATGCAGGTCCGTAGATAGGATTAAGGAGGTTCATCGACGTTGTGGGGAAGGTGAGAATGCTTTGTGGAATGCAGTCTTTTGACAAAAATACAGTATTTCTCCAATCTCTGGAGTCTCCAAAAAGATTATACCAACAATCAAAAGAACCTGATGAATCCAAGAATTGCGGAAACATCAGGGTAATAGGATATGAACTGTATGTGCTTATGTACATGTTAGTGGGAGAGGAGAGAGAGGTTGCCACTTTATCTGCTCTGATTATTATTAGCCTAAGGACGGAGGGATAGTATTGTAGCAACCAACATGTGAAGCAAAAGTGTAAACAACCATTCTTTTTTAGATGCTTAGAATACGAATTGTTAGTCTCAACTCTCGTGAGAGGAAACTAATAAAGTGTATACTTGCCTTTTCCTTTTAATCAGATACTTGCCTTTTCAGGGTAGGGCGCACGTTCCACCCTTCCCAAACCCCACTCGTGAGATTATACGTGAGATTATACTGGGCATTTTGTTGTTCTTTTAATCAGAATCAAATACTTACCTCGTGCTCATAGTAATCATTCATATACATCATTATGAATCATGTCCAGCCAGTTACTTTATTTCCTCCATTCATCTTGTATGAGTCATCGCAACAATATTTGTGAAGCCTATGAACCATTAGACGAATTTGATTGGAGCATTGTCAGTGAGGATATGTTACTGCAATTAAAGCTAAATTTGAAGGCTTTTTTTTTTTTTTTAAAATTATTCGAGAGCAAATCCACATGAACATTTCCAGCACATTTTGATAAAGTGCGCAGTTGGGATTTGACCACATCACAGTTGGGATTTGACCACATCACGTTATTAACAGAACACTCTTTCATAGCATGTGACTTGGTATAAGAAAAGAAAAAGAAAAATTTAGCTATGTGAACATAGATTTGGTTGAAACTTGAAAAAATAAGGCTGAATATATACGGAGACACTTAAAGTTGGCACGATCTTTCATTTAGACACCTGAACTTAAAGTTGGCACGATCTTTCATTTAGACACCTGAACTTAAGAGAGTTCCTATTAAACACTTATACTATCCGAAATTTATTCCAATTGAGCACTTATTTGATAATCAACCAAACTTACAAAGTTTGTGCAATGCACTCGCTGCTGACGTGGCGAATAACGAATAAAAAAATGACATATATTATTTTGAGTAAAAAAAAAACTATGTTAGATCTATTTAATAAACAAAATAAAAATAACATTCTAAAAAAGAAAAGAAAAGCTTAATTTACACCCAACCAAGAAAGAAAACATTTTAAAAAATTGGGAATTCGTGTTGGTGTTCTTCACTTTTTTCATATGTGTTCTTGTTCCAAGCACGATTTTAATCCAAATTTTTAAAAGAAACTCCTCCAAATTTATTATAACTTTAGCTAAATATTCCCCATGACGTCCCGAAGACAACCCCAATATTAATTTCTCAAATTTTCATCAAATCAAGTAACCTATTTTAAACCTTCAAGCTTTTTAAAGACCCCATTAATGATATATAAGGTTTAATCAATGGGTCTCCAACACAGCGACCCATCTCTGCTTCTTTTGCTTCTTCTTCTTCATTTTAGTCTTAGTTCTCTGCTTCTTCTTCTTCATTTCAGTTTTGGCGGCTGGGTTAGGCTTCTTCTTCTTCACTTTATCCTTTTCGTTTTCTTCCAATCACAAATAGTCACCATTTTTTTCGTAGCTTTGCTGTTATTTTTTTTAAAGCTTTGTTTTTAAGAAAATAAGATTTTGAATTTGAAAGAAGAAGAGGAAAATGAGTCGGAGCAACAGTGGAAATGGTGGTGGATATAAAGAAGAAGAAGGAAATAAAAAAACAAAAAAAAAAAATCTGTTTTTTGGGCTTTTCACGCGCCCATATTGGGTGAAACTCACTTTATGTGCCAACTCAGCAAGAAGTGTTTAATTGGAACAAAGTTCATCTAACTTACGTGCTCAATAGGAACTCTCTTAAGTTCATGTGTCTAATTGAAATATCATGCCAACTTTAAGTGTCTCCGTATGTATATTGGAACAGTGTTAAAAAATAATTTTTTGAAAGTTGAAATTGGATTTGAACTTGACGTTTACTTGAGAAAATATTGAAGTTTTGTGAGTGGAAAAAAAATTTTGCACCCAAAAATTGGTTTGCCAGTTTTAGAATTTGAAACAAAAAATCATAAACTTTTCAACACTGATCAAATTATTATTATTTTTTTTTTGAAAAAAAGCATGCAAGCTGGGTATTATTCATATCGGAAATGAGTACATCATGAATTAAAGATGGAGGATGCACAATCCATTCCATCGCATCGGACACGGAACTCGCGGCCCTAGCTAACATATGGGCACACTGGTTCGCCGATCTTTTAAGAAAAAATAAAGAAATAGATGTAAAGTCTCACATGATTACTTTACACGAACCAATCTTTTAAGAAAAGATAAAGAAATAGATGTAAAGTCGCACATGATTACTTTACAATCTGCACAATAACATCGAAATAAGAGTTGCCAGTATCGGATCTTTCCAAAGCTTGCTTGGCCAAAAGACAATCCATCTCAATAGTACGTAATAGGTGATCTGTGATGCTGCATTTTCAACTAACTCAAGGCTTCACGAACTGTTAGAATTTCAGCCATTACTTCATCATGTAATTAAAGCTTCCAATGGAGTACTAAATCCTCGAACAAAATTTCCATGAGTGTCGCGAATCAACATACCAGCTCATGCCCTTCCAGAGTTAACATCATAGGAATTAAGCGTCAATGTTGCATTTCAGCGTACCCGGATCAGGGGGAAACCTGATGTTGTTGATTTGCATCAAAACCACTTAACAACAAACCTGAATAAATATTATCATCAGATCGCGTTGAAATCCACTCTTTCAAGAAACGACTGGCTCTAAGAATGACAGTCTCTGGCCGCGCGTATAGTTTTTGTTATTTATCTGTATTGCTGTAAATTAAATAATAATCTTTCTAAAAACAGAAACAGAAAGTTAGTAGAAATTAAATTGCGAAAACAGTAAACTTCTTCAAAATAAATTTTGGAAAAACGTTATAGGAACAAATCGAGCCCACTGAATACACAGTGTGTCCTTAAGGAAATTATTCCCCTCAAGTACCCAAGGTTTTGGAATATATCCTCCCAGGATAGAACGATTTAACTCACCAGTATATCGGTACCTAAAACTCTGGTGATCGGCGAACCACTCGATGGTCGTAAAACACACTGGAATATTTTGTGCAGAAGAAGAAGAAGAAGATTCAGAAAATTTCGTAAGCAAATATTCTGGGATTTGAAGGTCTATTTATAGCCAACTTGGTGATGTTTCTGAAGAGGTTTGCAACCTTTCAGAATAGTCATAACTGTTGGAACAGGTGTGACCCTCTGAAGAGGTTTGCAACCTTTCAGAACAGTCATGACTGTTGGAACAGGTGTGACCCTCTGAAGAGGTTTGCAACCTTTCAGAACAGTCATGGCTGTTGGAAATTTTTGCGAAAAATTTAAAACGAATTTAAATTAATCCGGGAAAAAAAACGGGCTAGACCGGACCGGGTCACGGGTCATCCCTTCATTTCTTTTCCCACCATTTTCCATGCACACATCTTTTGTTATTATTTATTAAATAACAAACCCAACAGTTTTACCATTCCAAACCAAATTGTTGCGGGCATTCCAGATCTCCCATAGAAGCATAATAGCCTCCTGCAATTTTTCACTCGTGACAGCTGGTACCAGCGCGGTAAATCATTCCATGAACGAGGTTCGGCCGCCACCCCATAGAAGATTTAAGCAATACTAGTTTTGCCGCATTGCACATAACTAAACAGTGCATGATAGATTCGGCATATTGAAGGCATGCTGGAAAAATATTGCTTTCAAGAACCTTTTTAGAGAATAATTTTCACCGATTGGTAAAACTCCTTTCAACGCCCCCCAAGCAAAATTTAAAACCTTTGGTGGCATTTTTAAAGTCTAGAGTTTCTTCCAGATGATACCATCCGAACCAGGAAGTGTAACCTCGATGGAGTAGTATGAGCACACCAGGCTTTGTTCCAGATTTTACCAAAATATTCCGGAAATATTTTGTCATTTCATTTGACAAAATATCATCCAGTATATGTGTTGTATATCATAACCTTTTCATAACTATTTTGATCATTAATTGCAATTTTTAGAATTTTTAAAAGATAATTGTGAAAATGATTGTCTTGAAATCTTAAATTTAAAGTGAACAATATTTTATTCCGTCAAATTTGGGAAATTATTTAATTAAATAGGATAATTGAATTACCACTCAATTTCAAAATTATTTTATGATCTTTGCCTAACTTTAATGTTTTAAACTTTCAAATTATATCAAATTTTGGCTTAATTGGAAGCCTATGATCTAAATTGGCTATATTTGAAACGATTTGTGTTTTTTGTTAAATTTAAAACATGGCCACATTTGCAAAATATGGCCAATGCTTTAATTTTCGTATTAAACACAACTGCACCAACCTCCGCAGAGGCGTCTCCGCCTCAAGAACTTATTCATTTTCCACCAAAAACCGAAACATACCTCCCGGAAACAAACCTAACATACCCAAGTGTAAACAATGCTAACTTGAAAATTAACTCAAATAGCAGCAGATTCACATTTCTACGAAGTTTGAACAGTGAATGTTATACGACAGAGGGACTGATTAGTGTGTAATCAAAATTCAAAAAGACCAACTAGTTCACAACATTTTGCGGTTTCCTAAGAATTTAAAAACTATAACATATTTTTTGTGCTGCACTACCTAATTTTCTTGCTTAATTTGCTATCTGAATCCATTTGTATCTCCCATCTCCGCAGTTGATCACCATAATCTAAAACACATTCAATTAAATAAATCAGAAATTGGGAAAAAGTATATTGAAAATTCTAATTGAAAAAATTAAAATAAGTTACTTGATAATCAACTGTTTGACCAGCCTCATCGTTCTGAAGATTCTGTTCGAACACAATGCGGTAAAGTTCTCCCCCAGGATAGAACCTCTTTTCTTTCCCATTACTTGAGACCAGTTCATCAGAATGCCTCCGCACTCCATTGAGCGTTAATCTGGACGTTGCTAACGCCAGTTCATCCATAGTTGACCATGGTGTTCTTGTCACATCAGTCAGCGATAAAGTGGATGCCAAATTTTCAGTACTCTGCAAGAACTCTGTCGACTCCACACTAATATTGTCAATACTCTACAAGAATTAAGTCGATTCCGAACTTCCTGTAACTTCTTGGAGCGATAATCTGGACATTGCTAAAACCAAATCATCCATTGTCGAATCCACTGTTCCTGTAAAATCATTAAGCAATAAAGCTGACATTGCTGATGTTAAAGTTTATGGTTTGGAATTCTAATAATTTTAAGCTACTAGGTTTTACGTTAATAATTTGTATATAATTAATGACAACTATAGCATTTGAACCAAAGCTAATCAACAGGCTAGCTCTGCCCCTGTCCGAGATGATTAATCTAATTTTGTTCTTAATTTTGCAAGATTGTGAGTGGAGAGCTCAAGCAGACAACATTTGTGTTGCTTCCTTTGATTGGAGCTGCAGCGGGATATGCAGGTCTGTTGATAGGATTAAGAAGGTTCATCGACGCTGTGGGGAAGGTGAGAATGCTTTGTGGAATGCAGTCTTTTGACAAAAACACAGTGTTTCTCCAATCTCTGAAGTCTCCAAATTAATAGTAGTAGATGATGTAGCATGGTTTAATGATTTCTGCATTTTGATATGGAGTATAGGTATATATGTTAAAAATCACTAAAATTTCAAGATTTTTTTTTTTTAATTTAAAGCTATAATTTCTAAATGATAACAAATTCATGGTTAGAACGTAAAAGTTTAACCCGTCAAATATAGATTCTAGATTCACCTCTTGTAATAGTGCACACATCTTCTTGGATTCCTGAATCCGGCTCTAGTGAAGATTGCTCAAAATCATATACACACAACAACTTTCTTTTTTCAGCCAATGTGTTTTTTTTGGTTAATTCTACCCCCCCCCCCCCCCCTTTTTGATTCCCCTTTAAATTTTGATCCCTTTTATTTGAGTTATTACTCCTTTGGTGACTCGAGCCTACGACCTAAAGGTTGCAGGTAGGAAGTGTTGACCATCTGAGCAACCCCTCGTCTTCGGCCAATGTGTGATACTTAATATTCACAGACAAAGAGAAAAGAAAAAAAAAAAAATGAAAAAGAGCTGCAAAAGTGAACTATGCTACTCATGCATTAAGTAATACTATTACTACTAAAGGAGTGATAAGTCCAGGTTAAAAAGACATGCCCAAGAACTCATATCTCATTTTGGGAAGAAGTGGGGAATTATCAGCTCAAAAAAAAATGTTATAAGTCATGGACTTGGTGAAAGGCTAATCTTGATAATGTAGAAGTGTAGTTGCCTTAATGGCTGAAGGAGTGGAAAATGTACCATGTTCCTCTTCTTCATTGACAAATCCATTGTTAGCATAAGAAACAGTCTGAAACTGAGTGTTCAATGGAACACTAAAATCACTGGACTGAAGGGATTCCCTCTGATAAAACAGCTGGTTTTGGCCTAAAACTGAAGGGAAATTATGCGATAAAAAGCTGAATGTTGAATTCTCTCTTAACTCATTTTGAGACGACTGAAAATTGAAAAAGTTGCCTTGGTCTTCGTTTTTGATTTCTGAGTGAAAATGGCCTTGTTGGTATCTCTGAAAATCACTTACAGATTGAATCGTGGTGTCATTAACTGATGAAAACAAGCTCAAATTCCCATTTGGGTTGTCATTATGAACTTCACATTCATATTTTGGAATGTCGCTATATTCTTGACTAACTTTTGGACTCTGTTCAAGAATCAATTGGCCTTCTTCGTTTTCAGCATTTATAGTTCGCCAACTCAGTGCTTTATTTGTCGAGTCAATCTTCCTGGAGAGGACTTGAAAAGGATTATTTTCAAGTGCATCAATTGCAGCTTTAGCTTTTTTAATTAGCCAATCGATGGCCTTACTTGGACGGTCATAGCCAAGTCGGTCTTGAACATCATAGAACTGAATTGCAGTGTTTGGTGAGAGCCTCACTCGTCTGTCCTTCGGACCGCTAGCTGTTGAAACCTTGCTGTGCCGGTCTTTTCGTCCTGTAGCTCGGACAATGCGGCTTCTGTGGACTTCTATCACATCTGTATTGGTTCTATTTGGCTTCTTTTTTGGTGATACATTCTTGATTTCTTGTTTGTAACTTGACCATTGTGTGTTGTTTTGGTGCTTTGGGACTAAGGTTGCACTAGGGGAAGTGAAATTAGCCAATTTTGCGTAGTGGGAATCTGCATGTGTTTGACAGAATTGGTGAAAATGTTGGTTTTGGTAATGACTTGGGAGGATATTTTCTTGAAAAACAACCTCTTGCTTTTCTTTTTCTTCTTCTGACGATGATTTATATTCTTCATCTGATACTTGAAGCTGATGATTCATTGGAAAATCCAGATTTGAAGTAATTTTCTTCTTGCTTTCTTCTATTTATTGACTTTTAAATCTTTTTCAAGTGTAGTTGGCGCTTGACAATTGCTTTATACAAAAGACTGTGTGACTTTGGGCCCTAAAATATTAGCTTCCCACTAGCTTGTACTTTGTAACAGCTATATAAAGTGTAGTAAATACTGAAATATAGTGAAAAAATCATACTGTTTTGTTAAATACTCCTATAGAATAGGAAATAGCTGTCATGCAGGTAAGTATCCTGCGTGACAGGAGGTCACGGGTTCAAGCCGTGGAAACAGCTTCTTGCATAATTGCAGGCTACGGTTGCGTACAATAGACCTTTGTTGTCCAGCTCTTCCTTGGACTCCGCGCATAGCGGAAACTTAGTGCACCGGGCTGCAGGTAAGTATCCTAGTTTGTTTATGTTTGTCTACTAATTGCCAATAAAGTATATACATAATTACAAAGATGTATAACTGGTAGCCAGTAGGGTATGGTAGAATGGTAAATGTTCATTCACGTTTAAGCAGAGGTCTCGAGTTCATAATTCGAGAATGTTATCCTCTTCGACAAGGAGCACTTAACCCATATAGTGAGTTTTCTAGCTAGCGCGAATTGAGTCCGGATTAATTGAGGCTTTGGTTTCGACACCGAATGCTCAGGAGCGGATATACCTCATTACGTTGTCCCAAGCAGTGTCACGGGACACTCGTTTTATTGAATTTTTTTTACTTGATCTATATATATATAGATAAGAAACAAAATGAAAATCTTATTATTTCCCCCGTTCAAGGTTATGTGAATCTATTTCCTTTTTGGACTATTACAGAAAGAATGACCCCTTTCTAAATTTGGAAACAATTTAGCTTAAAATTTCAGTACGAAGGGAGTAGTATTTTAACTTTAGCAATACGTATAGTAACTTTCTCAACGAACGTTAGTTTGGAATAGATTATATATGTCAAGAATAATAAGGGTGATAATATTTTCCTCTTCTTGTCACCCTCACCTCTCCCTACTCGGAATTCTCTCAAGCCAATTCGATTGGTTCATGTCATTTTTGCGCAAGGATTCTACAGATTTTCTCGGGGCGGACCTAAAGCATGGAATACGGGTTTCTGGAAATCCAGTAACTCTTGCGTAAATTTTGTATTTATATTAAAAAATTCACTAAATATTTGTAAATATCTAACTGTGAAACTAGTTATTATTGTATATTAATTTGAAATTACGGTAGGAACCCATAAGCCTCAAATCCTGGATCCGCCTCTGGTCATCTTCTCTGTATCGTTTCAATTTTATGGGATGGACCCTAAAGCCAATTGTACTGTGTCCCATGCAAGTAAATTAAAGTAGACAACTCAGTTCAGTGTGGGATTCACACTTTTATCTTCTTGTGACATCCATTCAGTAGTGTTCAGTACCAAACTCCTTCTGCTCAAATAGTTATTGCTGTTTTTCTGTCAATTCATACTTGTTTGCTAGTAACACTAACTAGTCTTGATTCTCAAATACAAGTATATTTTGTCTATAGTTTAGTATGTGATAGCAAATTAGTTACTCTTTTGCTTCAGTTTATGTGTCATATTCTTTTTAGTTCCTAATAAAAAGTATGTCATATGTTCTTATATTTAGAAATTATTTAACTTTAAATGTCTTATTTTTTTCTTAATGATAATATTTACAGTCATACAAATATTTATGACTTGTTATAGACAACTAGCTTTTAATTAAAATTCTTTCTATCTTAAATTTCATACTTAGTCAAACACTATCATATAAATTAAAAGGAATATAGTTTTATTTTTACGATCGAATTATCAATTAGCATTTGTATTATAAAAATGTATTGCTTGTGCAAATATCTTTTGCCTTAAAACTAAACAAGAGTATATAAAAGGAGTGGAACCCTTAAGTAGGGTCCTAAATTCAAAGATGAAGGACGACAAATTGCATGCGTGCATGTGCATGGTCTTTATCACCCAACTTTAATTTGCTCCTCCTCCGATCCACAATAAGTGATCAATTTATCTTGGGCACACCCATTAAGGAAATACAAAATTCTAGATAAAAATAGTTAGTGTGATTAAACTACCCTTAATTAAATGTTGCAGCATAGTTAATGTGAGGAGTAAAAGATTTTTTAGGGACATATATAAGGGTAATTTTGGAAAAACAACTTGAATTTTTTCTTGATTAATAAATGGACACTTATTTTGGACCAAAATAAAAAGGCAAATTGGTCACTTATTGTGAACCGGAGGGAGTAGTACTTCTTTTTTGGGTTAGTCTTCTTCTCTTTTGTTTCTCTATAAGAATATATATAACATAAATAAAGTTTTTAATTGCCTTGAAATAGTTAGATTTGTGATTTCGATTAGCGCAAAGATCACTTTTAGCTTGCGGTCGAAATCATTTATATTCGGTAGCCTTAAAGTATATTTCAATCTGAATTGCCGGTGCTAAGCTTAATTAGACACTCAATTACTAAGCAAAACTCAGTAAGACTAATCTAGTTTAATTAGTCAGTTTATAATTTTATAGATCCTGTTAATGTCTAAATCATTATTGTATTCCCTACACCTTTGCTAATTTATTGCAACCATAACTCACCCTAAAAGCTTAAAAGGGGCATAAACTACATAATTGACTTCAATTAATTACTTCACTACTTAAGACCTTTTTTCCCTTTGTCACGTGATTCCATTTTACCTTTCTGAAATAGTATATATCAATCTATATTTTAAAGCAAAATAAAATCATAGAGATTTACAAAAAAACTAATAACTGACAGAAGAAAGAAAGAAGGAAATAAAGTGAAAAAGGTATGTAATGAAGACATGCACAGAAAGATGCAAGGAAAGAAAAAATGCCCCTATCAGTTTAAAAAATCACATCAATTTGACCTGATTAACTGTCACGATCCAACCCCGGTCGTGATGGCGCCCAACACATTGCTAGGCAAGCCCGACCAATTACATAACCTTGACCAATTATACCATTCATGAATTTATTTAACACTGGCAAATTACTAAGTCATAATACTGAATATCTGAAATAAAGTGCAAACATGCGGGAATCCCAAGTATAAATACTACTACACAGCCCGAGAATCCGGTGTCACAAGTCTGAGCCTCTAACATACGAGTGTCGACCTACTACATAATAGTCTAAGAAATGCGGAATAAAATAAATAGGATAGATGGGAAGATCAGGACTGCGGACGTCATGCAGCTACCTTGATGCTTCCGGATATGCTGCTCGACAGAGAAAAGTCTCACTCAGCCTCAGTGGGTGCACCTGAATCTGCACACGGGGTGCAGGGAGTAAAGTGAGTACTTCCAACTCAGTGAATAATAAACATAAATAAAGACTGAGAATAAGAAATCCTGAATAGGCACAAAGTAATTCTATAAATACAGAAACTTGAACCTAGCAGCATAAAATCAGTAAAACCAATGAAAACAATTACAGAAATATCACAGCAGATAAGTAAATAAATGAAAATTAATAGTATGCAATGCAACACATAAACCGGTACTCTTCAGTACCCGCTGCGGCGCGCAGCCCGCTCCATTTATTTATCGTCGACGGCGCTCACTGGGGGTGTGCAGACTCCGGGAGGGGCCCCTTACGGCCGAAGCGCAATAATAAGCCATATTGTGGCATCAACTAGGCCCTCGGCCTCATATCAATATCAATATCATGCCGCTGCGGCGTGCAGCCCGATCCCATGCTCTGTCCAAAATCCCATAAGCCTCTCGGGCACAATAATACAGAAATATTCAGCCCAAACATCATTTAAAAATATTAATTAAGTTTCTAGTTTAAGAAAAAAAAGTGGCTGAGTTTGCAAAACAGTATTAAAAACCAGGACCGAGTTCAATGATATGCAAAAATGGTAAGAAACCAGTAAAAACAATCCCTGAAGGATTCAATCAGTTGGCACGAGGCCAAATTATGACAATTAATCCATTTTTATAAGGATCTCACTAAGCTTCAATCAATTAGGTAGTAATTTTATTAAGCGGGACGGACCAAGTCACGATACCCGACGGTGCTCTACCCCACGCCCGTTATCCGGCGTGCAAGTCACCTCAATATAGCACTATGATGTGCAAACACGGGGTTTCAAACCCTTGGAACAACATTTACATCTATTACTCACCTCAAGCCGGTCAAAGTCCTAGCTCGCTATGCCCTTCCCTTTCGAATTGACCTCCCCGTATACCGAATCTGATCAAAACCACAACGAATACATCACAATATGCTAATGGGACAATACCCAATCGAAAAATAACTAAAATCTCGAAATTAGCAAAAACCCGAGCCCCGGGCCCACTTCTCAAAAATCAGAAAATTTAGCATCAACGGATTCCTTATCTCGCCACGAGTCTATACATATAAAGAACACCAAAATCGGAGTCCAAATGGCCCCTCAAATCCCCATTTTAACTCTCTTAAGTTTTAAGCCCTAACCACCATTTTTGACCTTTGATTCCTTAATTTTTCAGTCTTAATTCATGTATTTGTACCATAAAATCGTGTTTTAGACTCAGAAATTCTTACCTCAATGAAGTCCCTTGATATCTCTCTTCCAACTCGCCCAAATTCTCCAAGTCCGAAGTGAAAATTATGAACCCTTATGAAATTTTGCGAAGATAAAATAAAACTTCACTGACCAGTTATTTCCGCATCTGCGGCTCCTTAGCCGCATCTGCGATTTCTGCTTCTGCGGTGATTGTACCGTTTCTGCGTGTATTTCCGCTTCTGCGGTCTGATACACGCACTTTGCGGCTTCCGTTTCTGCGGACTAAGCTCCGCATTTGCGGATCTCATTAAGTCTCCAAAACCCGCATCTGCGGTCATGCTGTCGCACCTGCGACTCCGCAGATGCGGTCACTCAATCCGCACTTGCAGTTCTCCCCGCTTCTGCGACTCTCCACCCACTCCTGCGGTACCGCTTCTGTGGTCCCATTTCCGTAGGAGCGAAAATACCAGAAACAACAGCAAATTCTTAAGTTTTACAAGCCAAAACTTCCCGTTAGCCATCCGA